AAAAATTTGAAGAAATTGTTCTGGATATCAGGTTAAAAAATATTGGTTTATAAACATTGTCCTGATCAAAACCAAATTCCAAAATAACAAATTGTAGAAATTGCAATGAACATTTGTTCAAATATATCACTTTGTTGAAATTGTTCCAGACACCATCAGGTTCAAAACTATAACCATTTGTAGACATTGTTCTGGACACTACCAGGCTCAAAATATCACTTTGTTGAAATTGTTCTGGATACCATCAGGTGCTAAAATATTAATTAGAAATTATTTGCTTCTTGACAACAAACTTTTTGTGTTTTAATGATGACCCATATGTTTATATCAATGCATTGACAATAAGCTGCAGAGGAAAGCAAAACAATATTGGAAATCTGGCTTCAGGATTTGCACATTTTCTGTCTTGTATTATTTTATTCAAGACGGTTCTGTAACACCAATAGTGATCCTCCTGAACCCTTGTATATACAATGCTAGATACACAATCACAACCCCTCAAAAAAACAGCCAAAATTTTGTAGAGATCCAGCTGGTCAAAGATATTATCATCACAGTAGATAATTATATCTGTAGTTTATAGATTCAAAGATAAGAGAGATTTGCTTCACAGTGACACTGGGACAGATATCAACACATGAGGTGAATAATTAATTATAAAATATTCAATATATTCAAAGTGGGAATACACTGACAATGGCTGGATCACTACAAATTGTCCATGATCTGATCAGACTGAACTCTGCTGCCATGTTGTTGGTCCCAGAAGATACTGCGCAGACAGACATGAGAGGAATACCAAGGTATTGTAGTCTTCTGTGGGGTGACCAACAACCTGCTATCAATGGCAACCACACAAAACATCGCTCTGGAAAATTTTGAAGACAAAACCACAGCTCTAGACTACCAGCACTTCAAACTTTATCATAAAAAACAAATTTATGAAAGAACATTTACCAATGTTTAATACAGATATACGTTAAAGATTTCTCAAATATTTGATAGTCAAAATATCATATACCAGCTACAGTATAAATTCTACAAATATCTCAATTCTCCAAATTCCTCAAATACCTAAATACTTTAAATATCACAAATATCTAAGTTCTTCAAAGTCCCCAAATATTTCAATTTTCCCAACTCTACAAATAACTGCAAATATAGTGATCCATTCTCTTAACTTCACAAATATCTTGATTCTCCTAACCTCCGTACTGTCTTGACTTTACCAAAAACCACTCCTCAAACTTTCAGTATTAGTATAACCTTCAGTATGCAGACTTATAGAAGATGATTTACGTGTTTCTATAGAAAAGCGAGACAGAAATTTTAAACTGATACTGATAGTTCAATATCTGTCAACTATAATGTAATTTTACACTGTATTCACATTGTCTTGTGAGACTGGGCTACATATCATCTTCATCGCCACAGAATTTACTGATAGAAACAAAGCCTCGTAATAAAACATCACAGTTACTCAAGTTTAATAGGAAATGCGTCTCCCACTTCCATGTTATTTGAACGGTTTGAGAGCTATTGTTATGAATTCTACACTATATAAGTGATATCTTCACGATCTGAACTGAACATTGCTCTCTACCATCCATGTACAGTAATAAATGATTAGAACAGTGATTTGAACATTATACTATCAGACAGTGTTTGTCATCATATTTCTCAGAATTTATTTAAAACTGATTGTATATCCCAAACAAGCCTAAGGTTTAGCATTGCTGGACAGAAAATGAATTTTTCTAGATTTTACACCAGACATACTCAAGACAACTTGCAGAAATGATGCGTTATTATCACTATACTTCCTATTGAAAAGAAAATTGAAAAAATAAAGAATTCTGAAAGATTTCAAAGAATTCATATGATAAAATATTAAAACTATCAATATTATCAGCAACAATTTTCTCCTACATCAATCATTACATATTTGTATGTTAAGTTGCTTTCATATTCAGAACATTGTATTTTTTTTAAAGTAAGCGATTATTATTGTCTTTATGACGAAGTCAATATCTTGTTCTATTAACCACATCATCAACTAAAGTTTAAAGTAAGATATATACAAAATCATGTTTTTCTATATAATGTACCGTAACAATCGTAGTGAAATGACCAGGTTATCATAACAGTTCATAAACCTCTTGTTTCTAAAAATAAATAGGTCAATTCTGGATATCAACTACCTCCAAGTGGTCAGGATCCAACCAATGGCAACATATTATTGAATCAAGTAGAAAGTACCTGGTCACAGAATGTGAATATCACACGTGTGAGACGTTTTCTTCCCCATTTTTGCCGAAACAATATCAAGTAGAACATAGTTCCTTATCAGGTCATATTACACCTATCTCAAAATAATAGCATGACTGTTCAATATAAACTAATGAGTCCCATACAAAATTTGAGGGCTGATATATATATCCACAATAGTTTAAACACTTTGAATAATAACCCATTCAGTCCCCACAGCTTCATCCTTACTCACCAACACAAATCAATAATAGGTATCACAAAAAGGCGAATAGTTTTACCAGCTGAATTCTGAAATTTAAAATGCATATTTCCACTTGCATACAAATCTACACTAGACCGATCATTTGGTTGAACAAATGCTGTTACCAAGGCGATTTCTTTGAAAAATTTTGCGTGCCAAGTTTCATAATTATTTGCAAGTCCTAGCTGAGGAAATTGCAGATTGAGTTACTTGGTAGGATAAGGCTTGGTAAAGTAAAAGTGATCTTTTACAGTGATCTGATAACACGACAACAACGATCAGGCTGTAATCCGTCAGTCAATCATGGACTTGATTCTCTGTTAGATAATGTCTCCTAATTTGTTTCTGTAGAGATCACAACCCAATGTGGTTTTTTTTTTTTTTTTTGATTCTTGGTGCCTTAAAACATAGCGCTAAGTCATGGATTAGGAGAAAACCATGATTTGTAAAACCTGAAAAAAACTTCAATCTCTCAAATCAAACACACATAGTGAGAGTTTTTTTCCATCTGAGACGTTTTTCCTGGTAAATCCAAACGATCAGTAAATCTGGATGTGACACACATCAAACTGTTCCTACATGTATGCATCACTGACTACCATGAAATGTTATATCCAAAAAAAGTGAAAACTGATCACGTCTGTCCTCAGAATCCCCAGTCATGCTCTGTCTTAATGCTTAAGTGTGCCTCTCTAGAACTTCTATAATACTTTGTACTTAAGAAGTATCTAAATAAGCTCCCGCAGTAAGTAACTGTAATAGTTCAGTTAATGTTATATATGCATGACAACTCAGGTTCCATACAGATTTTCAATTCAAAGTACATCTTCAAATACTTTTCATGAATCACAGACACAGATTATAAAAGCACACTTAATGGACACAGATTATAAAAGCACACTTAATGTACATTATTCTAATGACGGGATGTTGTTAAGATTTACACCTGATGTTGGTATTATCATATTACATTTACTTACAGAGATATATTCATAACATTGGTAATTACTAAAGAAAAACTACATTGCTTGTCTTAAGATTTCCATACCAAGATGGTAGTGCATTTAATGTTATTGGGATCCATATTATAAGGTATGATTCATTAAATCCAGGACAACATTATTTTCATTTCAATTTTCAAATCATCCTGTATAGGATTATAAGTGACAGTTCTACACAATCCGTTTCAGTCACAAACATGTGGCGGGCAGATATTCATAACAAGATGGTCACCTGAGATAAGCAATATGGAGTATAAAGGTTAAAGAGAAAGTAGCTTTTAAGTGTAATGAAAAAGAAATTGTGACATTGATGAGAGTAAGCAAGTGTCAATAGATGTATACCATCAAAACTGTCATCCTATACAAATAATTCTTACAAAGTTATTTTCAGAGGGAAATAAACAACGTTATGCTCAAAAATTCAGTTTTTCTATAAAAATTATAGTAAAGTTAACCTCCTCTCAAAGAAGAAATGTTATATTTTGGTAATTAAAGCACCTTAAGACTCTTCCATCCTAGGAGAGCATTTGATTCTACCTTACCTGGTTGTTGAGAAGAAGATTTTTGAATTTTAAGTCAATTTGAACCCTTTTGGCCCCAGCCATCAGCTCTTGGGGGTCAACTAGGATCAATATGGGCATACCACCATGCCATCATCTGTCACTCATAATTCTAACCAAGTTTGAAATATTTCCAATGGAAATTAAACAAGTTCTACTCAAAAATCTATTTTTCCTACATGAACAATAGCTAATTTACCCCCCTTCCCCCATAGGTAAATGTGATGCCCTGGGGCCACCTTAAGATGCTTCCATTTTTGAAATTTGAATAAATTTGACCCTTTTAGCCCCACCTCTCAGGCCCCTAATGGGTTTGGATCATATAATTCACTATTTTGTTTCATCTTAGGCCCAGGAAAGTTTCTGCAAAATTTCAGTGAAATCAGTTCAGGGATTTTTGAGAAGAAGTCGAAAAAGTTAAATTGTTTATGGACGAAATAGGTCACCATGAGACCTAATAAATGCAGTAATAGCTCATATTGGTAACGATACGCTCCCTACAATTTTTTGAAAATTATTTTTCATTCTGCTGTCATTTTCCCGTCCACATATAAGCTGCACTGGAATATAAGCTGCACATTCAGCTCACAAGGAAAAAACTTGCAGCTTATAATCTGGAAAAAATGGTCCTTACTATATATACCATAACTTTTCGAAAACTAACAGGTAGGTAATTATTTCTGTATGTTGAAGTAATATTGTAAAGCTTTGCATCAAACAAATAATCAACACATATGTCTGGTGTGTAGTGTTGTCAACATCATTCCACTGACCACACTCACTCATATACATTTTTATTAGTCATGCTGATAAATAGCACAATTTGGTGTAGCATACACAACATTAAAATTAATTTAATTTATTTTGAGTCACTGACTTTTGGCAACATATTGATGAAACCCTGTGATGTAAGAATATATTACTCACTGTTCTGGGGAGACGTCGCCATGGCTAAGACTGGTGGGTGTGTCACTCTCTGGGCGATTATTGGCACAGGCAGTAAATGGGCGTGGCACAAGGTCAGGGTTTAGTCCTGGAGGTAGTCAAGCATCTTACTCTGCTCCAGCTGTACAACAGAACATAATAGTTAAGCTTGGTGCAGATTTACAACAGAACATTATAGTTAAGCTTGGTGCAGATGTACAACACAACATTAATAGTTCAGCTTTGTCCAGCTTTACATCAAAGTATAATATCAAAGCTTGGTCCAGCTGTACAACAAAACATTACATTTAAGGTTGGTCCAGCTGTACAACAAAACATTACATTTAAGGTTGGTCCAGCTGTACAACAAAACACTACATTTAAGCTTGGTCCAGCTGTACAACAAGATATTATATTAAAGCTAGGTCCAGCTGTTCAACAGAAAATTACAGTTTCATCTTCAGACAGGAGTTTGAGTCATATTTTATTATACTGTAAACCAGAGAAACATTTTCATCTCAAACAAGTATACGGTAAGCTTTCTGTCAGTCCTAAAAAATGAATTAAATATTGTTGAACCTGTTCAAATGATATAAAACATTGCATGTGAAAAAAATAACAGTTTGAATTATTGCTATCTGCTGACATCGCCCAAAATCTTGGACAAGTGTTTGAAACCTCCTTAATATTGTGATGCAAGAAACTACCAATAGTCATGGCTAAATGTTTGGAAAAAAATGTTGATCTTTTGAAACACTTAAGTGTTAATTGACTATTAAGAAACTGCAGGTTTCATTTAAAAGCATGTTTGCTTGGGTATTAGCAGCAGTTGGCATTGGAATATCAGTATGCTGGGTGTGGATTAAGACATATGGCTACAGATTAATATGAGTTTATATTTTCTCTGTTGTATTTATTAGGCATATTTTTGAGTCCTTCAATTATTTATTTGATGTAATGAATAGGAATACTATAATCAAGACGTGAAGTGAAACTAGTTACTCTTTGACAATACACATCCATACATTCCATGCTCTGTATACCGATTGCTTGTGATGCAGAGTTGGGGCCTTAAATTTGTGTCACCTGATGTAACAGCATGAAAAAGACTCACTTAATCAATGTTAATTAAGTGACATGTATGTGTTTACCACTGATGTGACCACCATGTTGTCTTGGGAGAAGACTTGTACAGGCTCTAGCCTGCTGTCTAATCCTATTGATTATTGATATCAATAAAATATTCTGAAATGAAATGTGACGAGTGACCACATGGAGTGATTATTGCAACAAATATGTCCCTATCAATATAGTTAGGCCCTAACGACCTTTTATATGTTGAAGGACCAATCTTGCTATATGTTTGAACAATTTGAATTGTAGGTGAAACAAAAAGAGGAAAGGGTTCAAATATCAATAAGGTGGAAAATTACTATCCTTATTGAAAAAAATCTCATTTGAACTACCTGCTTATTTAAACTGACCACAGGTTTACGATAACCTAATTATAAGTTATAAAAAAATAAGGCGTCTTTTCAGACTTCAGCTGCTGAATCTTTCATCACTGCTTTTTCCTACTCATAGTTCTCCATGAAGTTGGTCTGATTGGTAGCTAATCTAATTTTTCAATGTGACATATTTTCTGTGTGTCAATAAATATCTAGATGATAATTAAGAAATACCTCCACACTTTGAAGTTTCCAATACACAGATAATACACAGGACTCGTCTCATTAGACATGGGACATTAAGTGTGCATAGAGCTTTTCAATAAAGTACAACGGTACATTTCATACGTCATGTCATGAGGCTATTTTCTTAATCAGAGATTGCCATGAATCTATATGTACAGAAGCCGTCACATTTCATGTTGTTATATATCTTGATTTTTTCCAATCCCCAATGATTAGTTAAACTAACACACTTAAGATAGAGGATATTAAGGAAACCATCCTGACTTAATCTCTTATTACATAACTGTAGGATCTCATCTTTTAATCTCTTATTACATAACTGTTGTATCTTATTCTTTAATCTCTTTCTTTAACATAATTAAAAGCTTACTTGACACTATAGCAATGTCAGCAGAATTCTGTCAACAGCAATTCGGTCAGCAGGAATTCTTTCAGCGGGCAACCTGTCAGCATAATTTTGTTGGAGGGAATTCTGTCAGTAAACAATCTGTCAGCAGAATTCTGTCTTTAGGTATACTGCAGGAATTCTATCATCAGAATTTTCTTAGCAAAATTTGATCAGCAGGAATACTATCAGCAGGAACAATGAAAACTGGACTTCTGCCAGTAGAATCCTGTTAGCAAGAATTGTGTTAGCAGAATTCCATATGCTGGAATTCTGTAAGTAAGAATTCTGTTGGCAGGGATTCTCTCAGCAGAAATTCTGTAAGCAGGAATTTTCTCAGTAGGAATTCTGGAATTATCTCAAAAGGAATTTTTTTCAGCAGGAATACTGTCAGTAAGACTTCTATTAGTAGGAATAGTGTTAGCTAGATTAATAACAGCAGGAATTATGTCAGCTGAATTTTGTTGACAGGAATCCTGTCAGTAGAAATTCTGTCAGCAGTAATCCTGTCTATAGGAATCCTGTCAGCAGTAATACTGTCTATGGGAATCCTGTCAGCAGTAATACTGTCTATGGGAATCCTGTCAGCAGTAATACTGTCTATAGGAATTCTGTCAGCAGTAATCCTGTCTATAGGAATTCTGTCAGCAGTAATACTGTCTATAGGAATTCTGTCAGCAGTAATACTGTCTATAGGAATCCTGTCAGCAGTAATACTGTCTATAGGAATCCTGTCAGCAGTAATCCTGTCTATAGGAATCCTGTCAGCAGTAATACTGTCTATAGGAATTCTGTCAGCAGTAATACTGTCTATAGGAATCCTGTCAGCAGTAATACTGTCTATAGGAATCCTGTCAGCAGTAATACTGTCTATAGGAATTCTGTCAGCAGTAATACTGTCTATAGGAATCCTGTCAGCAGTAATACTGTCTATAGGAATCCTGTCAGCAGTAATACTGTTTATAGGAATCCTGTCTAAAGGAATTCTGACAGCAGTAATACTGTCTATAGGAATCCTGTCAGCAGTAATACTGTCTATAGGAATCCTGTCAGCAGTAATACTGTCTATAGGAATCCTGTCGGCAGTGATACTGTTTATAGGAATACTGTCTAAAGGAATTCTGACAGCAGTAATACTGTCTACAGGAATTCTGTCAGCAGTAATACTGTCTATAGGAATCCTGTCAGCAGTAATACTGTCTATAGGAATCCTGTCAGCAGTAATACTGACTGTCTATAGGAATCCTGTCAGCAGTAATACTGTCTATAGGAATCCTGTCAGCTGTAATACTGTCTATAGGAATTCTGTCAGCAGTAATACTGTTTATAGGAATCCTGTCAGCTGTAATACTGTCTACGGGAATCCTGTCAGCAGTAATACTGTCTATGGGAATCCTGTCAGCAGTAATACTGTCTATGGGAATCCTGTCAGCAGTAATACTGTCTATGGGAATTCTGTCAGCAGTAATACTGTCTATTTGAATCCTGTCAGCAGTAATACTGTCTATGGGAATTGTGTCAGCAGTAATACTGTCTATGGGAATCCTGTCAGCAGTAATACTGTCTATAGGAATTCTGTCAGCAGTAATACTGTCTATGGGAATCCTGTCAGCAGTAATACTGTCTATAGGAATCCTGTCAGCAGTAATACTGTCTATAGGAATTCTGTCAGCAGTAATACTGTCTATAGGAATCCTGTCAGCTGTAATACTGTCTAAAGGAATTCTGTCAGCAGTAATACTGTCTACGGGAATCCTGTCAGCAGTAATACTGTCTACGGGAATCCTGTCAGCAGTAATACTGTCTATGGGAATCCTGTCAGCAGTAATACTGTCTATGGGAATCCTGTCAGCAGTAGTACTGTCTATGGGAATCCTGTCAGCAGTAGTACTGTCTATAGGAATCCTGTCAGCAGTAATACTGTCTATGGGAATCCTGTCAGCAGTAGTACTGTCTATAGGAATTCTGTCAGCAGTAATATTGTCTATGGGAATCCTGTCAGCAGTAATACTGTCTATGGGAATCCTGTCAGCAGTAGTACTGTCTATAGGAATTCTGTCAGCAGTAATACTGTCTATGGGAATCCTGTCAGCAGTAATACTGTCTATGGGAATCCTGTCAGCAGTAGTACTGTCTATAGGAATTCTGTCAGCAGTAATATTGTCTATGGGAATTCTGTCAGCAGTAATACTGTCTATGGGAATCCTGTCAGCAGTAGTACTGTCTATGGGAATCCTGTCAGCAGTAATACTGTCTATAGGAATCCTGTCAGCAGTAATACTGTCTACAGGAATTCTGTCAGCAGTAATACTGTCAGTAAGAATTCAGTCACTAGGAATTCTGTATATATATATATAATGTCATACTCATACTTTTCAGATATACAAATTTACTTAATGAACTAACTATTTTCAACCACAGATCTTCACTTTAACGTGCCTCTATTTCCAAACTCTTTTGAGTCTGCAAATCTAGGCTATAATATTTCACATTAATAAAACCCATACTTTAATGAGCCCATACTTCTGTGATCTACAGCCTCACTTAATGGACTCACACTTCTTAGCCCTTAGGTGCCTGAATTTAATGAACTCAAGACTTCTAGGCACTAAAGCCTCACTTAAAGGACTCACATTTCTGGGCACTTGCATTTGGTGCTTCACTTTGATGAGCCCAGGCTATGGGCTCTGCAGCCTCACTTGATGGACTCATACTTCTGGGCATTAGGTGTGTCACTTAAATGAACCCATATTCTGAGCTCTAGAGCCTCCTTTTAATGAAACCATACTTCTGAGCTCTAAAACATCACATTAATGAGCCCATATTTCTAGACTCTAGACCCTCCTTTTAATAGACCCTTTTCATGAGCCCATACTTGAGTTCCAGAACCTCCTTTTTTTGCTCTAGAACCTCTCTTATATGAACCTATATTTCGAACTTTCAAGATTCACTCTAAATGACCCCCAAATCTTGCCAATAGAGCCTGACTTTAATGGATACCTGAGCTTTACTCTTTTGACCTTGCACTTGTAACTTTAAAGCCTCACCTTGTCAAGGTCGGTATGATCATGCCTACATGCAGTGCAAATAAGGAAATCAAAGAGTTCTTAACAAAGGAATACTGTGCTCACGTGTAAATCAATAGTGAAGATCTATATGGTAATAAAAAGCATTAGGACACATCTGAAACAAAGCAAGCTAAAGAGAACAATGAAGATCAAAGACAGAAAATAGATCACTTTACAGCACAGAGTGACAGTAGTTCACTGTCAGATACAGCTTCCTTATACTTGAACAGAAATCACGAATTATATAACAAATTAAAAAAGTTTTGAAATATTTTCTATCTGATGTATTTACCACATAGACCTTAAAAAAAAATTGTAAAACATATTCTTTTGTTCACACAATATTCTGTAAAAAAGTCGTAAAAACCTGTCCCCTACCAGCTCCTGTATGCTATTACATGCGGTCTTAAGTTACTTATTAAAACAGATAGCATGTTGGTTTTGTAAACGTAATTTACATAATTGTATTCTAGTTTTTGCCAAAGCTGCATTTTGGATTGAAGATCAAGATGTTTCACAATGAGATAGATAGTCCTGATTATCTCACCAAATTCCCTAATTCTCCAGCTCTATTTTGCGAATATCTAGTTTAACAGTTAATGATCCAAAATCATGATGTGTATATCTACTTAAGAAGTACAGCTTACCTCAGATCGTCACCAATATCATTAGATTTTGTACTTTTGTAGACAGAAATCACTTTCCACACAGAAATAAATTGTCATTTTACTTTTCTGCATGTCTATATAACATTATAACACAGATTAACATCAGAGGAAAGGCAGCAGTTCCAAACAGCTACAACGATGCCACACTGATACTATGTACCTTGATGTCACACAGATACTGTGTACTCTGATGCCACACTGATACTATGTACCATGATGTCACACAGATACTGTGTACTCTGATGTCACACTGATACTGTGTACCCTGATGTCACATTGATACTTTGTACCTTGATGTCACATTGATACTTTCTACCTTGATGCCACACTGATACTTTGTACCCTGATGTCACTCTGATACTGTGTACCTTGATGTCACACTGAAACCGTGTACGCTGATGTCATACTGATACTGTGTACCTTGATGTCACACTGATACTGTGTACCGTGATGTCAAACTGATACTGTGTACCTTGATGTCACACTGATACTGTGTACCTTGATGTCACACTGATACTGTGTACCCTGATGTCACATTGATACTTTGTATCTTGATGTCACACTGATACTGTGTACCTTGATGTCACACTGATACTGTGTACCTTGATGTCACACTGATACTGTGTACCTTGATGTCACACTGATACTGTGTACCTTGATGTCACACTGATACTGGTTACCTTGATGTCACACTGATACCGTGTATCTTGATGTCAAACTGATACTGTTTACCTTGATGTCACACTGATACTGTGTACCTTGATGTCACACTGATATTGTGTACCCGATGTCACACTGATACTGTGTACCTTGATGTCACACTGATATTTTGTACCCTGATGTCACACTGATACTGTTTACCCTGATGTCACAATGATACCGTGTATCTTGATGTCAAACTGATACTGTTTACCTTGATGTCACACTGATACTGTGTACCTTGATGTCACACTGATATTTTGTACCCTAATGTCACACTAATACTGTGTACCTTGATGTCACACTGATACTGGTTACCTTGATGTCACACTGATACCGTGTATCTTGATGTCAAACTGATACTGTTTACCTTGATGTCACACTGATACTGTGTACCTTGATGTCACACTGATATTGTGTACCCTGATGTCACACTGATAATGTGTACTCTAATGTTACACTGAAACTGTGTACCTTGATGTCACACTGATACTTTGTACCCTGATGTCACACTGATACTGTGTACACTGATGTCACACTGATACTGTGTACCCTGATGTCACACTGATACTGTGTACACTGATGTCACACTGAAACTGTGTACACTGATGTCACACTGATACTGTGTACCCTGATGTCACACTAATACTGTGTACACTGATGTCACACTAATACTGTGTACCCTGATGTCACACTGATTATGTGTACCTTAATGTCACACTGAAACTGTGTACGCTGATGTCACACTGATACTGTGTACCTTTATGTCACACTGATACTGTGTACCCTGATGTCAAACTGATACTGTGTACCTTTATGTCACACTGATACTGTGTACCCTGATGTCAAACTGATACTGTGTACCTTGATGTCACACTGATACTGTGTACCTTGATGTCACACTGATACTGTGTACCTTGATGTCACACTGATACTGTGTACCTTGATGTCACACTGATACTGTGTACCTTGATGTCACACTGATACTGTGTACTGGTAAAAAACTTGGTACCAATATCTCCACTGGTGTACTGGTATCCTTGGTTTACATCACTATTTTTTATTCTTTCAGGAAGACCTTAACACATCCTGTCTATGTACATACAGGTGTATAGTGGTGACATCATCTTAACACATCCTGTCAACCTACATACAGGTGTAAAGTGGTGACATCACCTTAACACATCCTGTCTATGTACATACAGGTGTATAGTGGTGACATCACCTTAACACATCCTGTCTATGTACATACAGGTGTATAGTGGTGACATCATCTTAACACATCCTGTCAACCTACATACAGGTGTATAGTGGTGACATCACCTTAACACATCCTGTCAACCTACATACAGGTGTATACTGGTGACATCACCTTAACACACCCTGTCAACCTACATACAGGTGGAAACTAGTGACATCACCTAAACACATCTTGTCAACCTACATCTGTCAACATTCATATCTTTATAAACACACCTATAGTCTGTAGGTAGTGGTATCACCTTTACACTTCCTGTCAAAGTACAGATATCTGTCTAGGTATCACCTTTACACTTCCTGTCAAAGTACAGAAATATGTCTAGATATCATCTTTACACTTCCTGTCAAAGTTCAGATATCTGTCTAGGTATCACCTTTACACTTCCTGTCAAAGTACAGAAATCTGTCTAGATATCATCTTTACACTTCCTGTCAAAGTTCAGATATCTGTCTAGGTATCACCTTTACACTTCCTGTCAAAGTACAGATATCTGTCTAGATATCACCTTTACACTTCCTGTCAAAGTACAGGTATCTGTCTAGGTATCACCTTTACACTTCCTGTCAAAGTACAGATATCTGTCTAGGTATCACCTTTATACTTCTTGTCAAAGTACAGATATCTGTCTAGGTATCACCTTTACACTTCCTGTCAAAGTACAGATATCTGTCTAGGTATCACCTTTACACTTCCTGTCAAAGTACAGGTATCTGTCTAGGTATCACCTTTACACTTCCTGTCAAAGTACAGATATCTGTCTCTGTATCACCTTTACACTTCCTGTCAAAGTACAGGTATCTGTCTAGGTATCACCTTTACACTTCCTGTCAAAGTACAGATATCTGTCTAGGTATCACCTTTACACTTCCTGTCAAAGTACAGGTATCTGTCTAGGTATCGCCTTTACATTTCCTGTCAAAGTACAGATATCTGTCTAGGTATCACCTTTACACTTCCTGTCAAAGTACAGGTATCTGTCTAGGTATCACCTTTACACTTCCTGTCAAAGTACAGATACCAGTCTCTGTACCACCTTTACACTTCCTGTCAAAGTACAGGTATCTGTCTTGGTATCGCCTTTACATTTCCTGTCAAAGTACAGATTTCTGTCTAGGTATCACCTTTACATGTTCCTATGTATATGTCTACTGGTAATATTACCTTTAAATTTACACTTCCTCGCAAAGCATAGGTATCTGTCTCTGTATCACCTTTACCCTTCCTGTCAAAGTACAGATATCTGTCTAGGTACCACCTTTATACCTTGGTCTAGGTAACAGATGTAGCTTCAGTATCTGTGGTACAATTGGTCAATATTCTTTAACAAGAAAATTGTTAGGTATACATTTAAATTAGGGTAAAGGGCAATCATTATACTTACTTACAACAAGATTTATAATCCCAGATAATCCACACAAAAGTCTGTCTAAGATGGCTGGCGGTGACTGATGTCGTCTGTTGGTCAGTATAATCAACGAATCAATAGTTCACAGATCTTCCTTATCTGAAATCAAAATAACACCTTATTAGGTAGTGTAGATGTCAAATTGTTCAGACAACTCAAACAGACAATTCAGCAAAACCAAGACAAATTGATCAATTTAAAAGTCTGGTCCTAAAAACTGTTCATAGAACATCACCCTGTACACAACTAAGATATGGTGTTACCATGGCATACTGCAGTGTAGCATTGATACACAGAAAAGCTGCACAGTCACACACACTAACAATTGTACACCTGGGGCCTAATTTTGAAATAAAAATCATTTTCAAATCATGACCTTGGAGTCATTAAGCATGAACTTGTTGGTAGTTAAAGCTACATCAAGGACAAAGATTTGGTCAATACTCTTTTAATACAGTAATTTTGACATTGGGACCCTGAAACACAATACTGTCTGAGGTATTCTGAACCCTGAAAGACAATGCTCTCGGAGGTATTCTGAACCCTGAAACACAATACTGTCGGAGGTATTCTGAACCCTGAAACACATTACTGTCGGAGGTATTCTGAACCCTGAAAGACAATACTCTCGGAGGTATTCTGAACCCTGAAAGACAATACTCTCGGAGGTATTCTGAACCCTGAAAGACAATGCTGTCTGAGGTATTCTGAACCCTGAAACACAATGCTGTCTGAGGTATTCTGAACCCTGAAACAACACTGTCTGAGGTATTCTGAACGCTGAAACACAACACTGCCTGAGATATTCTGAACCCTGAAACACAACACTGTCTGAGGTAATCTGAACCCTGAAACACAATACTCTCCGAGGTATTCTGAACCCTGAAACACAACACTGTCAGAGGTATTCTGAACCCTGAAACACAACACTGTCTGAGGTATTCTGAACCCTGAAACACAACACTGTCTGAGGTATTCTGAACCCTGAAATACAACACTGTCTGAGGTATTCTGAACCCTGAAACACAACACTGGCTGAGGTATTCTGAACCCTGAAACACAACACTGTCTGAGGTATTCTGAACCCTGAAACACAACACTGGCTGAGGTATTCTGAACCCTGAAACACAACACTGTCTGAGGTATTCTGAACCCTGAAACACAACACTGTCTGAGGTATTCTGAACCCTGAAACACAACACTGTCTGAGGTATTCTGAACCCTGAAACACAACACTGTCAGGTATTCTGAACCCTGAAACACAATACTGTCTGAGGTATTCTGAACCCCGAAAAACAATACTGTCTGATGTATTCTGAACCCTGAAAGACAATACTGTCTGAGGTAATCTGAACCCTGAAATACAACACTGTCTGAGGTATTCTGAACCCTGAAATACAACACTGTCTGAGGTATTCTGAACCCTGAAACACAACACTGTCAGGTATTCTGAACCCTGAAACACAATACTGTCTGAGGTATTCTGAACCCTGAAACACAACACTGTCTGAGGTATTCTGAACCCTGAAACACAATACTGTCTGAGGTATTCTGAACCCTAAAACACAACACTGTCTGAGGTATTCTGAACCCTGAAACACAGAACTATCTGAGTTATTCTGAACCCTGAAACACAGAACTGTCTGAGTTATTCTGAACCCTGAAACACAATACTGTATGAGGCATTATTCTGAACTGTGAAACACAACACTGTCTGAGGTCTTGTGACAGGATACAAGTGGGATAATATGAAATATTCCCTTTTCAATAGTGAAGCTCTTTTGACCATGGTTAAGTACAAACCACAATTCACCATAATCCAGAAACCATTGCTAACCATGGTTCAACAAGGTCCTGATAAGTCTATAATAGCCCATGCCAGTATGATTACAGTTCAAAAGCATGCATGATTGAATCATTAAAACCAACTCTGACAATGGCTGGCTATGGTTCTCTATACCTCAGTAACTGAATTGTGTCACTGAAGAACACGTTTACTGGGCAGTAGTCTATGTCCAACCATTAAAGTAGATATAAAATAATTTCTACATCAATTTCTGATCAACTACACGGTAATTCTAAGTATGTAGTTTCATTAATTCACCTGTATTAATGATTAACCTCAAATGAAAGCATGAGATGTTACAGCTTAAGCAACGGATTGACAAGTTACTTTTTCCCATTTTTGCTCACACTTACCACAACATATTTAAAATCCCCCTAATCAGTTGATTTGATTGAGACAAATCTGTCCAAGTGAACTCCAGTAATAGATCAGAACTCATAATATAATATCAAAATTAATTTTCTATACAAAGTAACAGTGATTTTGACCTAAATTGACATTTTCAACTGAACAGCAATCTAGAAATAACAAGTGCAATCATTTAAGAAAGCAAGTGTAGCATTCCTATTCACCCTCTGAAGAAGATTTTTCACCCCAAAATTTTATCTTCTACCCTCTACATTTGTTTTCTGGATTCACAAAATGTTCATTTTTACCCCTAATTCTCAGCTATAGTCAGAACCCTGAGATGTGTGAAATTTTGACTTTGATTGGTAGAAGGGAACATAAATGAACGAGAGAAAATAAATTTCATATTTTTAGTAACAGTGACCTTTACCGATGACCTTTCTTATTAAAAGGTAATCCAAGCATGCTGAACTGATAGGGAAGAAGCATGTGAAGCTGGAGTTTATTTGGTTCAAAGGAACATGAATGTATTTAGCAGTTTTATATCTATATCATAATGACCACCTTGATTTTTGACCTATTTACCAAAAAAGCAATCACAAGCAAGCAATTCCAATAAGAAAGCAGTGTGTTAAGTTTGAGTCTGTTCAGTCTGTGGGAACCAAAGTTATTGTCTGGAAAAGGTGACCTTTCACTTGACATTTGACATTTTGACCCCGACAGCAACCCCAAGCAAGCACTCCTGACAAAGAGTTCTATGATATTTGAGCTTCGTTGGTCCAGTGAAGGAATTAACTCGTGTAATTGTTCAGAAATAGTAATGCAGACAGAAGGAATGACAGACAGCAGCATTATAACATCCCTTTCCAATCTCTGATTGGGAGGATAATATACCTGAACTTTAATTACAAAAGATATAGAGACAGTCGTTCTTCATTAATTACTGGTAATAGTCATCACTCCGGGAAATTCTTTTTTTATTACCTCGCATCATTGTTTTATTGATCTGCAGCCACAAATCTGATTAATCGACCATTTATTCCAACCTGTTCTGCATGCACCAGTACAGGACTCCATGGAAACATGATGTATTGATATATTACAGCAATGGATGACTTTACTTACTTCAAAAAATCTTCACTGGAACTCCAAGCTTTTATCATGTTCAATATATCTTGGTTATATAAAATGTGATCTTCAATGCAGCTCAATATAAGAGATGGTCCAACAGTCACTATTTTAATTACAATCCATTTCTACCAAGACCGAAGTGGTTTGCTAGAGGAGACAAACCTCATTTTGCTGTATCAGCATCGGAGATGCATACACATTATGTATAATTACAGTCCAACAAGACTCTTTGACATTCTAACACAAGATTTTGCTCTGCAGTGAAAACAACTACAATATCCCCAAGGTCACCCCTGATTTCCATTACATTGTCTACTATAAATCACTTTTATATTTCGCAAGGAATTTCTTTTTTAATTATCACATCAGAAGAGTCAGTCGCAAATTCAAATCCTTCACAATTATTTGTATGAAAATAATTTTGGATGGCCTCCATTTCGATTGGTTATCTATATCAGAGTCTCGCATAGTCAACACAGCTCATCATTTGCATATTGAAAGTCATTTCTAGATCAGCATATGTGAAATCACATATTCACAAATATGTCTGAAGAAGTAAGTATGTGAAACAAAGTATAAATTGATTTACAGTACATCTTGTAACATCACAAACACTTGCATTACAGTAAGCTAGCTACTATATAAAGGATGATGATAAACACAACATCCACGACTGATACATTAACATGATATGGAACTGAAATTACAATTCACATTCAGTCTTGTAACCTGGCATTTAATTTTTATAAAGTTTAGACTCAGTAATAATTTGACTTTTGAAGTATAAACCTGAACTGAAATTTCAAAACACATAATATTGAAATTTCAAAACACACAATATTGAAATTTCAAAACACATGATACTGAAATTTCAAAACACAAAATATTTCAGTGGATAAGCTACATGGAATATATACATTGACTACCTTAGACTGTTGCCATGACTATCACCTAGAGGTGAAACGATTCACCGCGGTTCACCTAAAAACCCCGGTTTTTCGTTGCTGTTCAGTGTTTTCAGTATGATCGGGTCATTTCGGATTCAGTTCGGTTTTTAGTATGACCCCAAAATCCAGTGTATAGTGTTACCGCTGGCAACATGGATACACATGTCGAACTCACTGATCCTCCGCAAAAACTGCAGTCAAAAGTATGGAAATACTTTGGTTTTCGGAATAACAATGGCCAAGACAAAAGCACATGTAGACTTTGCTTTGTCGATACTGCGTGTAAAGCAGGAAATTCCTCAAACATGGTGACACATTTGAAGCAAAAGCGAAACTTAAATCCGGGTGCGGAAGAACGAGTCTCTAAGCTCGAACGCATCAACGTCGCCTGTCTACCATACCTACGTTAGACAAATCTTTCAAGATGTTCACATGTCATAATGACTAAACTGAAAAAACCAAAACCAAAAGGCCAAAACCGAAAACCGAAAGGATTGTGTATTGTTGCAGCCCTACTATCACCTTTGGAACAACTTATAAAAGACCTTCATAATGGTGATATGTATATATATATTTGTATAGAGGGGTACCTTAACAGAAGGTCAATCAGAAATAAGTGTTATGACTCTGGACAAGCATTTTACCTCCTGACCTCTGACTTTGAGGTATGCACTGCTACAAACTGCTTCAGACAAAAAAACCATGTATCTACACTTGTGAGATAGGTTCTTTTAAATTCATTCTAATCACACAATGTACAAACTACATGGTTTAAAACGAAAGAAGACAATTGTACCAATTTTTGTAAAATTTTGTAGAATTGAACATCTGATGTGATGATACTGTCAGACAGATCAGCAATAGCAGGGATAAAGCTCGGTGTTGCTCTGAGGTCTAACAGTCACTGGGAGTCCAGATGTGTGTAAGGCAGACATACAAGGTATCCAGAAAGTCAGTACCCAGAATCCTTGAAATGGTACAGGAAGTGCAAAGCCTTTTCACAATGATATATGTGACTAATGTTTGAAAAATGTGTACAGCTAATTTGAAAACATGTCTGGTGTTTTTATTTTTCATTGTCAAAAAGGTCATACTGATAAATTGGTGCATATGTAGAAATGGAATTTCTGTTCCATTAACAGGTGTGTATATGTACCTGGTTGTATTGGTTTCCAATAATGTCTAAATATGTAGGACTTGCACATATAGCATTGGCAATGAACCAGACAGAATGAGGCCAACAGCACCATAACCAATAATATGAATCAACAGGGATTGTCTGAGTCATCATAAATTATTCACACTACCCTGCTGCTCAATGACAGTCACTCTGTAACACATCTAGCTGTACCTACACAACAGCTCATCCTAGTAGGAACTCTTCAGTTTTGAAGGTGTGTAAAATGGTCCTTTATATCTGATGACTCAGGTTGGTTAACATACTGGTCAAGCATGCAGAGCAAATGGCTCAACAGGAAACAACGCAAAAACAGCATCTAAGGACACAAAGCTTCTGCCATCTCATTTCAAAATTTGAACAATATCATAGATCTGTTTTATTGGTTATTTAAGACCCCTGGAGTGGACAACAATATTAGAATCCCATTGATTTCTATTGTGTGATTTGCCGATATTTAACTTAATTGACATTCATTGTCATATTTAAGATCAACAAAACTAGTATTGATTTTTGTTTCAGGACAAACATGTCAAATCCATTGGGGAATTATGAGGGTGCTACCACATTTACTAGTGAGGATGCTGCATTCTAGTAGAAAGTTACATTACACTGTATAATAGCATTTGACCAATGAGTAATTCTGTATCTGTATCAAACACACAAAATCTGTACAACTAGTATATCACATTAACCTATGAAATGACGACAGGTTTTCAAGGAAATAGATTGTATTCATACAAAAGTTTATATTAATATATATTGTATACTTGGAGACTTTGCTGGATATAAACAATTGTCTTCACTTTTCTTATTGATAAAGATAAAAACATAAAGAGCATCAAAATGTGATGTAAAAGATGAAACGGGATTTGATGTATTTCTGGGTGAATAACAACAATGGATGAGAATAAACAGTTCTATAAGTGAAGGTAAGATAATTATGAGATAAAGCTCTGTGCTGCTCTGAGGCCTAACAGTCACTGGGGGTCAAGATGTGTGTAAGGCAGACATCCAAGGTATTCAGAAAGTCAGTACCCTTGAAATGGTACAGGAAGTGCAAAGCCTTTTCACAATGACATACGTGACTAATGTTTGAAAAACGTGTACAACTTATTTGAAAACTTGAAAATAATTATATGACATGTTGGATGTTTTTTTGTGTTCAGAATCAATAATACAACCATCATTTAATGCTACATAAAGGGATGTAACAAAGATTTCAATCACCTTCACCTTCCTTATGGATAATACTAGACAGTGTTTATTTGTTTAATTGAAACCAACACGACTTAGTATTACAGATTTACCTCTATCTATTGCCAAATTAGGCATAAATAGGACAATATTCGCCTACTCCTATATATATATTTGTATATATACCAGTTGGACATATATTTCTCTTTTCCTATAACCACACTATGACAATATATTCACCTACTCCCATATGCACATACCACTAAGACAATGTATTTATCTATAACTACATATACATTGTACTATAAGGTCAATATTCACCTACATCCTTTTATATACCCCTTGGATAATATTCACCTACTCCTATATACACCAATAGGACAACATGTACACCTATTCCTATCACTAAATGCATCACTTTATAGGACAATATTCACCTTAACTGTGCTCCTATATATACTATGTAAATAAATATATTATGCATTTGCAAACACCTATTTCTATATACATTATTAAGCAAATATTCATTTTTGACTTACAAGCACTTATATGTAATTACGACAAAAGATTTCTACAAGTAGGGACAAACATCTAGTAAAAACCGTAATTAGAGGAAAGTGTTCAGCACAAACTAGATGTAAATGTTTTATGCATGAAAGACCTACAGTAAGACTCTACTTTCATGCATGTTATGCAAAATTAATCTTCCAACTGTCTGTGTTGTCTATGAAGACTGAATGGCCTAGCAATGTAATCTACGAGTCAAAGACAAGTGGAAAGTGCAAATCTGGTAATAGACTGAATAATGAGCCGAGACAATGGAAAAGATTGCATTTATACTGATTTCAGACATGTAAACAAACAACAGGTTTCAAAATAATTTGACCTTTGACTTTAAGGTGAAGGTCAAAGTGTCCTAAACACAAAACATGTGTAACATACCTTCTGGATCAGTAATGTAGATATTTGTCTTTAACTTTGGAAAAAAAACCATATGCATGCAGTCCTTAATTGTCATCTGACAATCAACGGACCACAGACAAAATGTGATTTGAATAACCCATCATTTGCTGATGAGGTATAACAAATCTTGAGAATTCAAATTCTGAAGATTCTTAGAAAGTATTAGAAATTCATAAATGGTAGGTGTTGTTCTTGCAAAAACCATTGTGTAATCATGTTACAAAATGGCTAACTTGGCTACCATGTCAAAGTTTTGGCGAGCTGAAATATAACAACATAGTATCCGTTTCTTTTCCTTACCAAGCTCACAATATTTTTCTCGATGGTATGAATGAAAGTAGTTCAGAAGATTTGTAAACAATGAGCAATGTTGGATTTTGGATCAAACTGAAAAATAAAATTTGGTCAGGACAATCTCAGTATGACTTCAGGCATGTTTAATATCGTTGTCACTTTCTTAAAATATTTTCGACCTTATATTTTGAAATCTATCTAAACATTTTTAGAAGAGAAGCATTTTGGGCAAAATTTTGTCTAACTTTCCCTTTTGGGGCACTGCCCCCAAGTCTAAAAGAGTCAAATCAACTTTCTGAATTCAAAATTAATGGCCCATCCCTTAATGATGTTTCAGACAAAATTTGAATACAATTCATTTAAGCATTAAAGAAGAAGCAAATTATTGTCTGACTTCCCCATTTGGAACTCAGCACTAAAGTCCCTAAGGAACAAATCAACTTTCTGAATTAAGAAATTAATTGCCCATCATTAATATCATTTCAAACAAAATTTGAAAGAAATTCTTTCAAGCATTAAGGAAGAGAAGCATTTTAAAGCAAAATATCTCTTACTTCCTCTTTTAGGGCCTGTCCACATGCAAAACATACAGAGTCAAATAAACTTTCTGAATTAAAGAATTGATTCCCAAATCAGTGCAGCCCTAGGCAGGAGAAGTATTTTAAACAAAAAGTTTACAGACGGCCCTTTGCAATAGACAGCACAAAATAGCAATTAAAAACATCATATTGAACTAAATAGAATATTCATCATGGTTTTAAAGTTACTGAATGGATATTCAGAATAATAACTCACTGAAAATTGTACACTTAATCTATATGATCTTTGACTTGAAGTTTAATGTCACAGACGTTTATTACCATAGTATTGCATAATCATGATACTGGCATCCCCTGCACCCCCACCTCTTCCTATAGCATGATACTGGCATCTCCTGCACACCCCTCTTCCTATAGCATGATACTGGCATCCCCTGCACCCCCACCTCTTCCTATAGCATGATACTGGCATCCCCTGCATCCCCAGCTCTTCCTATAGCATGATACTGGCATCCCCTGCACCCCCAACTCTTCCTATAGCATGATACTGGCATCCCCTGCACCCCCCCCACCTCTTTTGATCCCCTCCCCTTCACATGATATAGGTATCCCCTGGGCCCCTCCCTGTCATGACATAGGTATCCCCTGATCCCCTCCCCTTCACATGATATAGGTATCCCTTGATCCCCTCCCCTCCCTTCACATGATATAGGTATCCCCTGGGCCCCTCCCCTTCACATGATATAGGTATCCCTTGATCCCCTCCCCTCCCTTCACATGATATAGGTATCCCCTGGGCCCCTCCCCTTCACATGATATAGGTATCCATTGATCCCCTCCCCTCCCTTCACATGACATAGGTATCCCCTGATCCCCTCCCCTTCACATGATATAGGTATCCCCTGGGCCCCTCCCCTTCACATGATACAGGTATCTCCTGGGCCCCTCCCCTTCACATGATACAGGTATCTCCTGGGCCCCTCCCCTTCACATGACATAGGTATCCCCTGGGCCCCTCCCCTTCACATGATAT